CTGTGAGTTATTTCTCTTCTACAGCTTTGGTCCCCATTGCCAGGTAATGGTTAATGGTCCATTCTTGTACTGAGATCGTAAGGTTGTTCAAGCATTTTTTCCCTCATCTTCCAGGATAATATTTGAACTTTAAAGTGTGTTTGTGAGCAACACACTCCCTTCACATCTGTCTAGCCTAAAATGAATGATGTGCTCACTAAAGATTTTAGGTCAGGATTCAGGGAAATGCTTTGAGGATAAATAGACCCCAGTGAATAAGATCCCCCTGACTTGGGACTGACTAGCCATGAGAAGGTGTGGACGCTAGCTAAGATTCCATCCCTGCTTCAAGGGATCTCAAAGTTAAAGGGAAAACAGTGATGGAGTTTAAAAATTAAAGATCTGTTCTTAACTGTTCAGGAAAGAAAAAACAATCAATAGCACCTCAACACTACCAGGCTTTGGATTCTTCTGTTCCAGTTTATGTTTATCTGCCTATCCTTGGTTTCTTGCCTGGCACATTCTCCCCCTTTCAAAAGACCCTCATTCGAATGACTTTTGCTGATGAGACCAGTCTAGAGGTCCCCGGTACCAACTCTGGGACCCCCGCTCCCTCTATCTGCCCTTTAGCTCTTTACTCTCCTCTTAGCTTATCAAAAACAAGTTTGTTCCAGAGTCCTAGATAAATCCTTTTCTTCACCGCCCAGCCAGTACGGTCAAACCTCAGAGAAAAGAGAACTAAACCGACTCTGTCCTGGCTTGCTAGAGAGCAATGCTTAGCACCTGATAAGCTGCCCCGCAGCCCTCCCAGAAGCTGTGAAGTTGAGAGCTGTATCCTATTGTAGACTCCCCAGAGAGCCCTAACCCCGGTCAACACCAGATTCACCCAGGGACCCGGGAACAAAGGCTGGGAGCCCGCGCGCGCAGGATGCTTACCTAAGACCGTGAGCCGGGTGCCTGGACCGAAATACTGCTCATACGAGCACAGAGGCGCAGCCCCACACTCAAACCCCTACAGTGCAGTGAGCTAGTACCCAGATTCCGGACATTCTCCCTGCTACTTGGCCTCCCACAGGGCCTGGGAACCCTGTGCAAAGAAGCCAGCTGCCCCGAGGCTCACTGCTGCAGTTGCCAAATAGCTCACCTAGCATTGTCAACTGGCTGCCAGTTCCGAAAGTCAAGCCAAAGACTGAGAAGCACAACCCGGGGACTCGCAGAGAAAACCCTGCCAAGGCACCCGCGCCCACTGCAACCCCAGCCCGCCGGCACCGCGAGTGGGGCCCCAGCTCACCTAGCACGAGGAGACGCGTGCCTGGCCCAAAGTACTGGGTCTCTCTGTTCACAGCACCAGAGCCCAGCACAAAAACACCCCAACTCACCTAGGACTGACAGTCGGGTGCCTGCACCGAAATACTGGGTGTTTTGGCTCACAGCCCCTTGGTACAGCACAAAAACTAGCTCTGGCTATTGTTACTTGGGAATCCCGGTAAGGAGACATTCCCCATCTTCCCACCCCCATCACTAGCTCCAAACTTACCCAGCACGGTCAGTCTGGTTCCTGGGCCAAAATACTGAGTGTCTGTGCTCACAGCCTCCAGGCTCAGGACAAGAACCCGCTGTTGCCCACTCCTGCTATCCCAACCCTTGCTCAGAGCCCCATCAATCACAAGTGCCCTCTTGATCCCAGCATCTACTCCAGAAATCCTTCCACCTAGACAGGTCAGCTCAGGTGAAAAGGAAGCTGAGCAGCTGTTCTACTCTGTCCATCTTACCTCCCACAGTCCCTTCCCAGCTGCCCTGCTTACCCAGCACTATCAGCTTGGAGCCTTCTCCAAAGTACTGCTGCCCGGTGTTTGCACAGCTCTGGGGTTACTGGCACAAACCCTGTCCATCCTGATGCAGGGCCTCGGATGGCTCAGTGTTTGTTCTGCTATGGCTTTCTGGCTCCAGGGGTCTCTCTGGCTATTATGCTGCCTTCCCTCCCACCTGTGTGGCCACTACCTTCTTACCTAGCACCGTGAGTCTTGTGCCTGGTCCGAAGTGCTGCTCAGCATAGGAACACAGCAGAAAAGGGCTGCCAAGAATTCTTCCTCTTTCTTCACCTTCCTTAGCATAGACTCAGGGTTACCCACTTTCCCCATTTACCTCCAGAACTGGTAAAGCAACCTGGACTCCTTCAAATTGAAGGCAAACTTCAGTTTGAAGAGGAGATACAACATTTGGCTTGGGAATTAATATCCATCTAATTCACTCGGGGAATTGACACAGTGAACTTGAAATCTGAAGGCTTCCTCGTGGGGTTGGGTAGCCTCTGACCAGAAAAGACTTGTTACACCTTTCCCACAATGCATTTATTTATTTACTTAATATTTTTAATGAGTTCTTAACTTAGCGCTCATGTACAGATAGATATTTTGCCAAGGGTAAGCCTTATGAAAGGGGCTAAACAGTGATCCTACTCTCTAGATAGGCTTTCACATTCATGGGAAACTGTCTAGGAAAAGGGGATGCATAAATATTGTAAGACCTTATAAGATCACCCACATAGACCCCTTCCTCACATGACAAATGCATTCCTTGGGCTGAACGTTGATGTTCTCAAGGGTAGAGCTTTTTGTAAAAGCGCCTCCTCTATTTGAATCATTGTGCCCCCCCCCCAGTCCCCACAATGTTACACCATGATACAAAAATGTTTCACCCCCACGGATGCCCTCCCCTAGTGCCTTTCCTGCCTCAGGCAGGGGCAGGAAGCCCAGGTGTTAGAGAGGTTAGCCAGACTGAGAGGGGCTGGGAAAAGGCTAAAGCTGGGCAAATTTAAAGAGAAAGGAGGAGCTTGGAGAAGATCTTGTTACTAATGGTGGTGCTGTTGATGGGGGCAGGGACCCCTGTTCTGATGGTGCTCTCACTCTGGGAGACTATCTATGTCACTGGGTCTCCCCTCTTTGACTCACAGTGCCCACCTGCTCAGGCTGGCATTTATAGTGAGGTCGGTGGGAGGAGTGAAGCTGAAGGGCCCCAACAAGAGAATCTCCAGAGCAGTTGATACATCTTAGAACCCAGAGACAAGTAGCTCTGAAACTTCCATCAGTCATTGCTATTGCTTAATGGAGGAAGTTCACTCACTTATTCCTCAAATATTTAGCAGGCACATATGTGTGAGGTCCCATGCTGTTTGCCAGGAGATGCGTCCATTCTCAGAGTGGCATGTTCTGGTATGATTTCTCAGCCTTGATTTTGATTATTCCTGTCTCTGACTCTTGCATCCAATAAATGGCTAGACTGTGAAACATGCAGCTATATTGTGTGTGATTTTTCTGCTGTCTCCGGTCAGCAGGACCATTCCATAGAGTGCACAGAGTGCATATTCTCATGCCTTTGTCTGATTTTCTATCGGCAGTTTGTCAGACAGTTCACACAGCAACTTCAAAGCCACAGCTTTTAGTTCTGCTTTTTCTTCATGACTTAGTCCCTTTATGGAGAAATGGATTTCTTGGGGACTGGTTTAGTTAGCTCTGCTCCCTGGGTTTTCAAAAGTAACACATTACAGTTATATTTGTTTAGTGAGCGGGTAATGTGAACACACATGTAACTGTATGTGTCTGTATGTAGCTAGACATGCATGTTTGCATAGATTAAACTCTGAAATCATATGCAATAGAGGGGGAAGAATGTGTAGAAATGTAGATGACTGTTCTGAGAGGGCCCTACTGAGGTGACTGTGTCTAATATAGGGTCACTTTTATTATTTCCCTCTTCATTCCCAGGATTATTAAATAATTACTACCAAGTGTCTATCCTGAAACAAAATTCCAGGGTATTATAAAAATAATATACTAGTTATGAAGGAACCACCAGTTACATGGGAGTTGTCAGGTAAGAAACAGTGTCCATTGAGTATGGTAAGAGTCGTGAAGGAGGTCTTTACAAGGTGCTAGACAACAAAATATAGGTTGTAACTTAGGGAGCTAGAAGCAAAGAGTGAGCAACAGATGCTAGGGAAGGCTCCAGGAAGACACTGAAGTCAATGCTTAAAGCCAAATAGGGTTTACTGAGGGAGGAGGGGCACCACAATGTTCCAGGTGGGGTTAGCAGGAGAACATGCAGAATGGAATGGGAGTATGAGAAGAGTGGGGTATGTACGGTTATGAGGTAAAGTGAATCATCAGTTCTTTATGCCATCTTGAGGATGACAACTACCCCACCATGGAGACATGACTACTGCTCCCGCCACGGGAACAACGAGAACACAGGGAGCTTGTGAATGTTTTCCTTCCTTTTTTTCCCCCAAAACAGAATTTCTTTGCAGCTTTGGAGCCCATCCTAGAACTAGCTCTTGTAGATTAGGCTGGTCTCGAACTCACAGAGATCCACCTGCCTGCCTCTGCCTCCTGAGTGCTGGGATTAAAGGCGTGCGCCACCACAACCCTTGAAGGTTTTCTAGATGAAGAAATAAGGCTTGCTTTTGATAAGAAGCTGCATTATTTGGACTTCTAGGCACAACCATGGGATGTTGTTTAAATCCCTCGATTTCACTAGCTAAAAATTTACCAACAGATTCATATCTTGAAAAGAAGACACCTTTCCCACTGAAATATAATTTTCCAAGACAGTGCATGATAATGTGATCAGCTGGGAGCATGGCTTGGTGAACAAACACTTGTGTTCATTGAGAGGCTGAAAGGAAGATTGGTGACACAGGGAACCAAGCCTTGTTAGTCACCAGGACATGACCAGTTGCAGAGGGATACATTTGTGTAACCTATGACTTCTCCCCAGAGTGCCCTTTTGACAGTCAGAAATTTCCTGAACTCAGAACTCCTGTCCCTCTCTCTTGAGAATTTCTATTTTCCATCACCTCCCATTAGCCTCTTCTATTACTCTCAGGGTTGGGGCCCTCACTTTTCTTACCTGAACTGGCCACCATTTTTTGTTTTGAATATCTCGTCTTTCATGATTGATCAGGGAGTACAAAGAGAGACAAGAAATAAAAACATCTACACGCACGAGTCAGAGTTGGGTCATTCTAGAACAAGTTTATTGGTTATGTTTTTTGATTGTATATATGCTAGGTGCTCTCCAGGTCCCAGGGATTTCAGATGCACATGGGTAAGTGCACATGACTAATAAGCAGATGTTGGGACACACAGACAAATGAGGACAACTCTTCAGAAGTGCTGGAAACAGAGAATCTGTATTAGCAACACAAGGGGTTGGAAGTTCTGGGTTCCGCCTCCTAGTCTGGCCTCAGGAATTCTTTCTTTTGACCTGCAGAAGAGAAGGGTTTTAGATTTACCAAGGGCCCTGCTCAGTGGAGTTTGAGGGGAAGAAGGAAGGCCATTCAGAGAAATGATAGGGCTCCTCAAGTATCGCTTGGGGTTTTGGGTTCCCACAGATTGTCCTCTGCATGGCTCATTTATTGCAGTTCTTTGAAGTTTCTGCTTGTCTTTTATGACTTGGGAGCAAAATTCTCTCTATTGCTTAGCTCTAGTTCTGCTTGATCCCCTGAACCCTTGGATCTTAATTTCTTGTGCACCATGTATCACCTCCCCTGTATGGCCCATTTGCCCTTTCCTTACCATGGCCATCAGCACCAGGGTACTGACAAGCACAGCGTACAGGGTGGCCTTCCCCAGCAGGATCTCATAAAGGATGGTGGCAGACAGGACCCCTTGTTGGTAGGACACTGGAGAGAGTAAAGGAAAACAGGTCAGTACCTTTGGACAGGCAGCTCACTGCAGTCAAGGTCATGAAAGGTGAAGAAGGAGTCAGCTCACCTGAGGTAATACCACAATCTGAAAGAAAAGAGAGGCAGGAAAATGAATGAGACCTTTTTTTTATTAAGCAGACTGAGAATTAAGTCAGTCTCGAGGCTAGCATAGACTGACAGACCAGCCTCCCTGGGTGGCCCCAGAACCCTCGTTCTTCTATTGTGCCAATGCAAACCTACTATTCTTGAAACCCATACATACCTTAGGCACCAATAATAATGATTCAGAGGCTGCTCTACACAAGGCCATAGAACGGAAAGGAGACCCTACATGTAAGGCTGCTGGGCTGAGGATCTAGTGTTAGGATTAGCTGTAGCTGCCTAATTGTGTCAAGTTTTAGTGCCCTGCCATTGTTTTTTCTGTGTCTGGACTTTTTGGCTTCTGCCTGCATCTTTCCATTTCTCTTAGACACTAGCGATGCTCATTCTTCTTACCTGCTGCTCCCCAGGTCCCATGAACGTACGTACCTGCGCTGCCCCAGGCCTCTGCACTGATGTTCTGGGTGACAGGCTTGGGCGAGGACTCGGTCCACTCGTCTTCATCTGTAAGCCCATAGAACTGGACTTGGCAGAGGAAGTGGTTGCGAGGATTGTGCCAGAAGGTCGCAGAGACCCTCAGGCGGCTGCTCAGGCAGTAGGTGAGGTTATTCTTCTCCAGGTAGGGCTGAGGGTCTGTGCTGACTCCACTGTGGACCTCCTTGCCATTCACCCACCAGCTCAGTTCCACATGGTCAGGGTAGAAGCCCCTGGCCAGGCACACAAGGGTGGCCATTTGTTTGTCGACGATCTCTGCTTCTGATGGCTCAAACAAGGTGACCTTGGGCGGACTCACGTTGCTAAAATCCTCTGGAAATGAAGAGAGGAGGGCTGCTTTGAGAGCTGTCTAGGTCTGGCTTAGACTGTGTGAGAGAGGCCTGGAAACGGTTATTCTAAAGCACAACTATGTCATAGTAGGTCCTGCTAGATGTCTGTCACCATCTAACTCTGTTCTGGATCTCCCTTGATGCTCCCTCTTTCTTCTTTATGGGTTTATTTCTCCCCCATTTTCTTAAGGAGGAGTCATACCCTGATTAGAAAGTTCTGGACACTCTTGTAATGCCTTACGCACTGTGACTTTGTTTGATCACCTGTGAAAAAGAATATATGCAGCTTTGTGTTTCAAAACCTTAATCCATGCATGGCTAGCTGATCTTTTAGATTTGAAATAGTGGAACAACTATTTGAATTACAGGGAGAGCTTGAATTTTGAGGCAAAAGTTTCATGTTAACATCACGGTCCTAAGAGCTAAGGTGATTTTTTTTTTTCTTTTTTGCTTACTATTTTCCTTTTGGGGGTGAGGTATAAATTTTAATGTGTTTGGGTGATTCTACGTACTGTCAGCATGTGTTGCCTAAAAGAGACATCCTCCCCCCCCCTTAACATCCAGAAAAGTCTCCAAGTTTATGAATACTTTGCTCAACTCTTCCCGCCCCCACTCTCTTCTGCATGCAGCTTGCTTTGAGGTTCCAGCTTGTCTCTGGCCGGCTGCCTATCTGATGTTCTGCATCCACTCCTACACTGAGGTGTAAGAGGGCTGTGGCGGCTTGCTCAGGAAAGCTGCCATGCTGTGGAAGGTATTATTCATACGTTGAACTCTTCTAGTTTTCCAGTGCTCAGCAAACCTCCTCGATGAGTTTCAGAATTCTAGTTCACAGCCTAACTTTGCAGTCCTTAATGGAGTGAAAGACTAATTGCTCCTCTAAACAAATCTTAAAGCACAAAGAAGTGGGTCTCCACTGGAGTGGCCTGGGCCCCACATGCTAGGAAGAGGGGACAGAAAAAAACTTTCTAGGACTATTGAAAAGAACGACTCCCTCTGAAGATGAAGTTTGCACACAACCTCCAAGCATCCTTCCTTTATGTGGAATTTAATGTCCTCCCTCTCCGGCTGGGTTCTGACAGAAAAGCAAGGTTCTCATGCAGAAACATGCCAACAAGAGATCTCTTTCTCTGTCTGAAGTTGAGGGCTTGTGGGGGAAATTGAGACATGGGTTTGGACAAAGACAAACAGTGGCTTGCAGGATAATGAGGTGACATTTGAATCCTTTAAAAAAATTTAGGAGAGAGAAAGGGGTATGGGAGGAAGGAGAGAGGAAGAGGCAGGATAGGAGTGATGTAGAACTTCATTTATCAAGTTCTCAAAATTAAAAAACAAACCAATTAATTTTGACTTAGTCCTTTACGTTAATTTTAAATTGTCCTTCTTATTTTATATGTCTTGGTGAGCCTGGGACAGCTTAGCATTTATTTATTTATTTATTTATTTATTTAGGAATATCACCCCAGACAATCCCCCCAACTTTCTTCCTTTGAACCTCAGGCATTTGAATCCAGTGTTGAGGCGTTTCCTTTAGCATCCATAGCATTTGTCCTATCTAGAGAAGAGTATCTAAGCAAGCTTCCAGTCCTGGGAGGATTGAGGAGCCCCATTCTTTCATCTTTTTCTGTCTCTCAGACATTGTCACTTCCCTCCTCACTCCCCTAGCCTGTCTGCTTTCCTCCCAAGCACAATATTGGTTATGTTGGGCTTTCATGATAGATACATTAGTTTATTATACCAAGAAGTCCTGGGGTCTGAGGACCACTTATCTATTTTCTCGTTTTTCGACATAATCTGGTGCTAAAATGTCATTTTTTTTCCAGTTGTAAGCTTATTCATATCTATGCCAAAAATACCCACCAAGTGCAAATAACTTCAAACTCCCTGCAGACAGCTAAAGGTCCCGTAATGCTATAACAAAGACTTGTGCCGCTGCTCAGGATCAGCCTAATACCAGCAGCCTGGTCCCCTCTGCCGTCTAGCCCTTAAGCCACACCAGGGAGACAAACACAAGTCTTCAGAGACTGGTAGACAGGGAGAAAGTGGAAGGCAGGGTTAGAAGCCTGTGTTAGACTTCAGGGTGATATCTGAAATCAGAAGACAGAGCTATGCACCGAAGCAGGTCAACAGCGCAGGAGAATGGGATGGACAGGGTGGAGAAGTACTAGAGAGAAAACAAGCAGCACATCCATCACAATGTACGGACGATCCCAGTCCAAAGAATGATAAAAAGGAGAGCCAGGAAACCCAAACCCCAAAGCAAAGGCATTCTGTGTGTAGAAAGAGAAACAAACCCAGGAATGAGCAAGCTACCAGGCTCTGGGGAAGGTTGGAGAAGGCACAGGGTTCCAGATGGGAACAGGTGACTCTGCCTTCCAATCTTATACCTAAGTTCCTTTCCCAGACCATCGTGATCCAACACAGGCACCCCTCCAGTCAGGAATAGAGCCCCCATACCTGTCACAGTGAGCCTGGTGCCTGCTGCAAAGTAGAGGGGCGAATTAATGGAACACAGCTGCAGGAGGCCTTGGTAAAACCCACCAGCAGTTCCGAGGCAGAGAGCTAGCCCTAGTTCCCCAAGAGCCAGATGACTGACACTCTCTGCCTGCAGGCAGGATTCTAGACTACAGTAATTCCAAGAGGCATGTGACAGGAGGGGGACAAGAGGAAGGGACTCAGGAGACACACATCCATGCAAACAAAAAGGTAAGATAACCATGGGAGGTAGAGAGGAGACTGCTCACAGACTGAAACAGTTGCTGGTTCGTCTTGCCATGAGGAAGACAGGGAAGTCGCTTAGATCCCCGCAAGTAAAGTGATAACTAAATTCCTAGGCCCCTACTGCTAGTGCTGGGGGGCACAGACACTCTGGCTCCAAGGGACAGTAGCCCCATCTTTTCAGTTCTGTAGCTTACCTAGAACAGAGAGTCGAGTCCCCTCTCCAAAATGCTGGGCCTGATTGTTACACAGCAAAACATCAGAGTGACAAACGCCTGAGGAACTGCTGGGACCTTCCTATGTCTCCACACAGAAACCCCGGGGCTACGACACAACACAACATTTCCACCCTTTCATCCTCTCTGAGCCACAACCTAGGGTAAGTTTGCTCTCTTTTCCTTCTCCAAGGAGCTCCCCTGCACCCCGAGACTTACCACATACCCTCCGGAGAAAGAACCCTTTTACGTACCCAGGACAGACAGCTTGGTTCCATGACCGAAAAATAATCTTTCGTTGGAACACAACATTAAAGCCTGGTGGTAAAACTGTCTCCTGCTCTCTGTCCGTCCTCCCCATGCCCACCTGCCAGCTAGCTTCCCTTATCCCCGAGGACGGTTTGATCTCTGGGCAGTGGAAGGCCAGGAAACTATGCAGTATTAACTAATGAAATTGCCAATCAGTTTTTGTGGTGGGTCCATGCATCCTCCTCTCTGATGTCTGTCTTTTGTTTGTGTGAGAGGACCAGACAGCAGGACTAGGGACAGTATATGCAGCTGATTCCCAGGGGATCCTGCACTCGGCAGGGTGCCCAGGGTTGACATAGTAGGCCTGGGAAATACTGAGACTGGACATTCTTCCCTGCTTGTAAGCACGAGCATAGACATTTAGATCTTCCTGTAAGATGAGCACTGCGACACTGTAGGCACCCCAGATAGAGGCTGCCTTGGGCCCTAACTTACCTACGACAGTGAGCCGGCTTCCTTCTCCAAAATAGAGCGTGTTTCCAGTACACAGCCTCCTAAGTCCACTTCAAAACCCTGTACTCTATGTGAACCCACCTCCTTTCTCTTTCCTGTCCTCTGTCCCAGGCTCATCTTGACCCAGCTTGGAACCTTCAGAGCACCTTTGTGCAATCAGCCTCCCTAGAATGTCGTCCCAGACAGTAGCCGGTTTCTCCCTCAAGCAAGACCCATGAGCTAGCTCCTTCTTCTGGTTCCCAGGACACAGTCAGCCTTTCCATCCCACACCCAAACACCCGTAGGTCTTACCTAGTACCAAAAGCCTGGTCCCTGAGCCGAAGGTGTAGTCGTAATTTGCACAACAGAATACAGGTACCCGAAAATGGGTATCGAGGACACACCTTGTCCTGGTGATTTACCTGAAAGATATCTTACCTATAACCGTGAGCCTGGTTCCTTTACCAAAGAAAACTTCTGTGTTTGCACAGTGCCGTGGGGCAAGGAGGAAAACCAGCTTAAGGTGTGAAGAGACGATGGTCGTGCCTTGTGTATGGAAGACCCTAAGAGGAGTAATACCCTTGTGTGCTTTATGATATTGTACACCAGAACATTTTGATATTACATTTGTGGGAATGTAGAACATAGCAGATTCCATCCAGTAGGACCTACATCTCTTTTGTGAAGGATGCTCTCTCTATATCGTCTCTCTCTGAGGGTCCATCAAAATGAGGGAGACCTGTAGAGAGCAGGTTCCTAGGACCAGCTTCGAGCTGAGATCTCCATGGTTCTTTTTGAGCAATCTGCAGAACTGTTCAACTCTGGTTGACCTTTCCATTGATGGTGGTCTTTTTCCAAAATGGTTGTCTGAAGGGTGTCCCTGCAGCCTCTGTCTCTGGGGCTACTAAGTCATTCTTCTTATGTTTGCGTTGTTTTTGAATAGGAGAATTTCGTTGATTAGGCCCTATTCTTTTCCATGATCTTGGTCTGGCAGGTAGCAGAGGTGGATTGGAAGCATTCTGGATCTGAACACTTCTAGGCCTGGGTCCTAGGAGAAAAGCAGAGGACTGTGGGCCTTAGGACAGACAGAGAGGTTTTTGTAAAGGTTTCCCATAGAATTGAATCACCGTGCCCCCTGTCCCCACAATGTTACAGCTTTATACAAAAACGACCCACCCATAGGTCCACCCCTTGGAGGCTGGAAGAAACCACCAGAACAGCTGCTCCTTTGAGGGGAGTTGAAGCTAAGGAAGGTGACATTTCCCCCATTGTGCAAGGTGATGGGAAGAAGAGCACCAACAGGGAGTTTCCTCCTTGCCCCTGGCCTTCTTTTGTTTGTCCTTTGTTCTTAGAGCTGGGCGGGCGTCACTGCACTGCTGTTTACTGAAGGGGCTGGATCCCCTCTAGTATCCGCCCTTCTCAGGTTGTCATCATTTAAGGGAACCACCCACTCTATGAGGAAGTGATAGCCCCAGTCTAGCCTGGCTCTGCCTGTGCCCCAAGGTGGTGCTTCACCCAGAGGTGACTGCTGACTCCCAAGAGTAAGACTGCAGTATACAGACTCTCTCTCTTTGTGACGGGCTCAAGCCTTCTCCATCCAGGGTTGACTAGACTCTGGACTTCATAGAACGATGGCGAAGATGCACCGTCCTTCCAGGAATAGGTATGAAATGAGGTGAAGTGACCACAAATGTTATATTTAAACTCATAAACACAAAGGAGATGGGACAAGGGAGAAGGGGACAAGTCTCCACGAAGGCTGCATAGAGACAGTTTGGAAATCTTTCTCATATGTTCACAGGCCATGTGATCGTCGCTGCATTGTAGTCTTCTCTGAAGACGTTTCAAAGCATTGGTAGATATTTCAATTTTCCTGGCTCAAGATGAGTCTGGCAGGGAGTGGAAGCCCACACACCGTAGCACTGAGAGACAGAAGCAGGCAGATATATGAGTTTGAGCCCAGTTTGGCCAATTTACAGATAGGTCCTCACTTTGAGACTCCATCTCGACAACAGATGAACTGACTCTGAAATCCAACCTGCCCTTGCATGTCCTGCGTATCCCCTCCACACCCCATGATGGTTTCCTTCCATTGCCCGTCAAGTAATGACTTAAAACTCAGGTGAAGAAAAGATAGACTTGACTATGTAATTTTGTCACATTTGTATAAGACATAGAAACAGAATTAAAAGCTAAATGAAAACCTGGGGAAATATTTGCAATTCTCACCACTAGGACTAAAAATCAATGAGGAGATAATTCGACAGCTCAATTCAAAAAACAAAAAACAAAGGCAAATAGCAGATGTTTTAGAGAAAAAAATCAAAATGGTGCTTAAGCAGAGGGAAAAGTTCTCACCGTGGTATTACCAAAATACCAAGAAAACACATTGAAAGAATGCCTTGCAGCGATTTGAAAATTGGGCTATTAGAGACTGTTTTCTTTGTGACTTCGTAGAGAAATAAAGATGTTAGTTTATTTGTGGCTAGCAGAAATATAAAATGATAAAATCAACCCACATAGAAAATAACTAGAAACAACAATGAAACAACAAGTGCGTTCTCATTTTATTTTCACCCAGAAGTCTCACCCCAGGAAACTGACCTTGTAGGTACAATTGCATACAAATGAAATTTTAGCACTTGGGAGGCTGAGGCAGAAAGATCACTATGAATTTAAAGCCAGTCTGGTCTACAGAGAAAGAGCTTGTCTCTAAAAGTCCAGAAAGCGTAGAAATTAAAACAGTTTAAAAGCGTGTGCAATGACTGTGTCACGTCAGTGTGCTCTCTCACACTCACTGTTAACTGTAAAGAACAAACCGGGGAATTTCATCGGTGTAGGCGGTCTTTGGTTGAACTCATGGGGCTGGGCATAAGAATTCACTAAAGATCATCCCAATGGACTTGTTTATATGACTTTTCATAAAGAAATCTGGAAAGAAAGCTGACAGCAATTCATTGATAATTGCTTGCGTGATGGAGACCCGTGGGTTCGAGTCCCCAGAACTGCAAAATAAAACCAAAAAGAAAAGCAGATAAAAAGACAAAGCAAACTAAGGCCATTACCCCCAACGACAATGTCAGGGGATCTAAAGCCGTTACTCCCCAAAAAACGGTGGCACAGAAACAGAGCACAACCCTTTTCTCAGTGCTAATTCTATGGCAGGATTTCAATTTTGGAGCCATATACTTATAGTACTTGTTTCAAATTTTAAAAAAAGTATCAAAGGGAATAAAACTAATAAAATGTCATTTTATATTAAAAATATGAAAATCTGCTGAGAAAAGTACTTAGCTTCAAGGTATTACTCTTTCCAAAGATTGGTTTATTAAGAAGCTGTTTTGTGACCATCTTTTAGCTCCTAGAGGCCTGGGCCCCTCAGGAAGCTTGTCAGGGTGCAGATCTCTAGCCAATTCCCTCAAGCTTCTGATTCAAGTCTCTAGGAAGGGGTTTGCTAACACAGTTAAATAAATAACCAGAAGATGTTCTTAGGTATGCCTTTGTCACAGCGGGAGGCCTGCTACTTCCTGGGCCAAACAGGAAGTTGTAAAACTTGGTTAACCCCAGAGTGCTAGCTCCTGGGGCCCTGAACTGATGCAGGGCATAGGGGAGACAGTCTGTGTGATTCATCAATAGGGCAGATCTTACAACTCCACTGTAAGCCTGAGTAAAAAAGTCAGTCACTTTGATCGTTTGGAAGGTGGTAAAATCTACTCCTCATTCTTTTTTCCATCGAGCTACACATTTTATTTTGATCTAGTTTTTCACCTTTTGATTTCTCACAACCCTTTCCTAGCAATGATTTATTCATTAAGCCAGAGTTTCCTTTTAATCATGTAGCTGGGTGTCTTAATATTTCCTGGTCTTGAAGATAATAGTACCATGTGTCTTAGTGTTATGGGTTCTGGTGGCATTTTTCCAGTTTTCTCATCTGGGCATTGAGACTAAATTTAATTAAATATTAAAAAATAAAAAAAAATCCATCCATTTGTCTATACATCTATTATCTATCTATCTATCTATCTATCTATCTATCTATCTATCTATATATCATCTATCTATCTTTCTATCTATCTGCCTTTTATTTACTTGCTCACTAGTTCATTCATCAATTGATTTTTTTAACCTGCCAGAAATCAGGTTGTAGTCATTCATATATATGGACAGCAGGGGGCAACCTTTCCTTATTCAATTTCTCTCTCTCTCTCTCTCTCTCTCTCTCTCTCTCTCTCTCTCTTTCTCTTCCTTCTTAAGACAGGGTCTCACTATGTAGCTCTGGCTGTACTGGAACTCATTATGTAGATCAAACTGGACTTGAACTCACAGAAATCTGCCTGCCTCTGGGTTCCTAGGGCTTGGAATATTGGTATGCATCCCTAAACAGGCCTTTTACTTTATTGTTTTGTCCTAAGTAATTGCCATTTGGGCTTAGCCAGTAGAGGGAATAAGAAGAGTGTGCAAAACATTGTGGGGGTAGGAAAGGATTCTTTTTAAAGGTGTGTGTTTGAGCTGGTTATGGTGGCACAAGCTGGTAGGATTTGCAGAAGGAGGCAAGGCTGAGACAGGAGGATCATGAGTTTGAGGCTAGCCTGAGTCACACATTTTGAAAAAAACAAAAAGAAAAAGATAGAAAAAGGTGTGCTTGTCGTAAGGGAGCTAGATGGGGAATCACATAAACGCGTTTTACACAAGAACAATTTTGAGAATTTTAGAATATTAATGTGTTTCTCTAAGCGCGTCCTGTCCTGGTGGGTTTCTCAGGAACTAAAACATAAAGAAGTTAAAATGAGTTAGCAAATAGTGAAAAGGTCACACTCGTCAAGACTCCTTATTTGAATTCTGGGGCTGTTGCACCTAGCTGATAGTTTTGTTTCTTGGGAAGTCCAAACTTGGTTTCGGTCTGACTGGACTCATAAGGTCACCTTTTCTGGCTAGAGGACTTGGACATGTTATTAAGCCTTTTAAGCTATAAATATCATTATATGTAAGGGTAATGATAATAAAAATGTCTATTTTAGGCAGCTGTGGGGACTAAGTGAAATAATTCATGCAAATGCAGCAGAGTGTGGTTTATTTTATTTTATTTTATTTTATTGACAAGTTTTTGTTATGTAGCCTTTTCTGGTATTTCACTATTCAGCCCAGGCTGAATACAAGCTTGTATTCTTTTGCACCCTCCTTCCTATAGCTGGGATTATAGTGTGCAGTAATATACTGGGCATTCAGGAGCATTGCTAGCACACTGGTTCTTGGGTCTCATCAAGATGAGAGAGGCCTGGAAGGTTCACTAAAGCACAGGTTACTGAGCCCACCCCAGGACTTCTTACTCAATACTTGCCTAGTGTAGGCTAGTGCTTTCTTTGCTAAGTCCTCCAGATTTTGGTGCTGCTCTTCAAGGTGAAAGACCCTACAGGCCCCCTCCTCAAAACCCGCAGCTAGCATGCTCCCGGGGGAACGTCCTGTTTGCCTTTAAAAAAATTCTCCGGATCAGCAGCCAGCCTGCTCCCGTAAGAACATCCCATGTGCTTGAGAGAGCAGGATATCTATGAGATAGAGATAGGAAGACTGCAAGGCAAGATGTCAATAAGATAGGACATCAACAAAGCAGGTTAGCTATAAGATAGGAACAGGATGACTGTTGCCAGGCATCCATGCTGAGAGAGGAAACCATTCATGCCCCCGCCTCATTCCGATAACCATGCTTTTGCTTCTGTAAACTTGCTTTTTGCTGACACCCATGCTGAGAGAGGAAACCATTCATGCCCCCGCCTCATTCCGGTTGACCGATAACCACGCTTTTGCTTCTGTAAGCTTGCTTTTGCTCTCCCCTATAAGAAGCCCGCCCTCCAGTTGGCAGGTGCGCAAGTCTTCCGAGAGATCTTGCCGCCCGCAGGTACCTGTGTCTACTCAATAAACCTCTTGTGATTTGCATCCGTGCGGTCTCGGCCTGTTCCTTGGCGTTGGGGAGGTCTCCTCCCGAAAAAGGTCCTCATGGAGGGTCTTTCACAAGGGATGTTCTTCCAGAACCATTTTGAAAAGTTGTCTTCTGTCACATTTGTCTCCATTCTTCTTCAACGTTCTACTTATTTAATCACTGCATACCAGGCTTATTTTAATCACAGTTATTGGGATAATGAAGGTAACATTTCTTGTCAAGACGTTCAGAGTCAGGTTCAGAGGTTAAGAACCACAAGAGAAGCCCATTATGTGTCAATGGGACTCTCTTTTCTGGTTTAGTCTCTCTGGTGCTCTGAATGCTTCTTGTACCTTGATAGGTGTCTTCTTATTTACACAAGGAAAATTTCCTTCTATGATTTGTTGAAAATATTTTCTCTGTCTTCCTATATTCCTATAATTCTTAAGATTGGTCTTTTCACAGTGTCCTGGATTTCCTGGACATGTTTTGTACCATGTTTTCTTTTGAAAGATCTAACATTTTCTTTGACCATTTATTCTGTCATGTTTTCAATACTTGACATTCTTTCTTCCATCTTTTGTATACTGTTAGCGAGGCTTGCTTCTGAAATTCCTGTTTGAGTTTCTGAGTTTTTACATTTAAATTTTCCTCAGTTTGGTTTTCTTTATTGATTCTATTTCTTCATTCAAGTCTTGAACTCTTTTATTTATTTTCTTCCATTGTTTGAGTTTTTATAGATTTCTTTTTTTTAATTAATTAATTAATTTATTTATTAAAGATTTCTGCTTCCTCCCTGCCACCGCCTCCCATTTCTCTCTCCCTCCCTTAATCAAGTCCCCCTCCCTCATCAGCCCGAAGAGCAATCAGGGTTCCCTGATCTGTGGTCATCACAAAACATTCAGGAAATATGGGACACAATAAAAAGACCAAACCTAAGAATAATAGGGATTGAAGAAGGAGAAGAGTCACAGCTCAAAGGCCCAGAAAATATTTTTATAGATTTCTTTAAGGATTTTTTTTTCATTCTCCTTTAAAGGACTTCTCTCATATTCACACGGGTATTTTAATGTCTTGCTCTTGCAGTTTAGCTACGCTGAAATACTCCCAACCTACTATAGTAGGGTTGCTGAATTCTATTCAAAGCATGTTGTCCTGGTTGCTATTGACTGTATTTTTGTACTGGTATCTAGGGTTTGTAAAGATTTTAAATCCAGTTGCTGATATCTAGTCTTGTTTTGGTTGGGTTTAATTCCTTGATTTCTGCTGCCTCATCTAGTTCTTAGGAGAGTGCGGTATTTGTGCATTGCCTGGTAGGAAATTCCTCTGGCATCCTGATAGGTGTGGCCACTAGTGTTCTAGGCAAAATGTGTTCCTAGGTATTAGAAGATGACACTTAGGAATGGGATGGGCTGTGGGGGGACTGAGGGAGTCTACAGGAGAAAGGAAATCCAGAAGTTCACCAGGATCTGCCCTGGGAATGTGGGCAAAGAGTGAGGGGAGTCCATAACAGGTAGTCTGCTACAGAACTGAGGATGCTCCAGAACTGGGAGCTTGGATATGGAGGAGAGGAGGGAGCATGAAGGTCTGAAGCTCACCTGCCTGCTTCATTGATCTACTTGCCTCTCTGGCAGGTATTGTTTGTGGGCTCCCAGAGAAGCTTGCTGGAGTCAGAATCTGGGATAACAGTGGGGAGGAGGTTTGAGGAGACCTGCACTGTTTGTTGGAGATGGGGGAGGGGAGGACAGGGATGGGACAGGGAGTAGGGGGAGGTTACAGCATTTGATCTGCTCCAGAGGTGGAGGTGAGACTGCCTGCCTCCTGTGGTTTCCCAGGGGAATGTTTGCTGGTGTGGAGGCTAAGAGAAAGGTGAGTGGAGGGGTAAAAAAGGTTGGAGGAGAAAACCCCTTTCACCAGACACAGCGGCAGGGAGGGAGATGAGGTTGCACCTGGTGGTCTGTTATAGAGCTGGGGATGAGACTGGGGGATTGGACTTGGAGGAGAGCTGTATGTGGCTTGGGTTGCGGAGGAGACTTGAAGATCTGCAATTAGGTTGTTTGCTTCTGTAGCAGAAGTGGCCTGCAGGGTAGAGGGGGATGTCTGCTAGAGTTTGGGAATGGGATAAAGCAATGAGTCTTGGGAAGGAAATTGGGAGGGGAAATTCTACTTGATCCAGTCGGAATTGGGGTTGCCCAGTGAGACCTTATCTAAGGACCCCCACTCTTAGGATGGAGTAGAACTGCATTGGCATGAACACTTTTTTTTAATGTAGAGTCAGCATCACTAAGATTTACATTGGATACAAAGAGTTTTTGCCATAGTCAAAGAAATCAGTAGTCTTGTGAACCACAACAATCATTACAACTTGAAGCCCCACTGAAGAACTAAGGAAGAAAAATTGTTAGCTCTATTATTCAGACATGACATTTTTTTGAAAAAGTAAAATGAAATAAACTCCCCATTATGATTTCACTGAAATTATTTTTGTGTTTTATATGCTGCTGCTGATTATCTCATGAGGCCCATTTTGCAGTCCAAGATAACTTTCCATGGAGACTCTGATCTCAGAGTCTCAGATAAGAGCTTTCCTCCCAGAGCTAAGATTCTAAAGAGGTCAGGCAGGGGAACCGGCAATGAGGGCAAATGCACTTTATTGACATGTGGGGCTGAGGAGGGAGTGTGGATTTTTAGTTGGCAGCAATTGTGTTCTGAATCCAGTCCACATAGTTGCAGACCTTGGTGTACACACCAGGACTTCCTGCCAGGGCACAGCCATAACCCCAGGAGACAATGCCCTGCAGCTCTCCATTGCAGACCACAGGGCCGCCAGAGTCACCCTGGAATGGAGAAAAAGTGTTTAGAGAAGGGTCATAAAGAAAAAGGATCACCTCTACTCTTACCTTAAGACCTCAATCTAGATACCTTGTGAATCCATTTGTTTTTCTTTCTTTTTTTTTATTTATTTATTAGGTATATAATATTCTGTCTGTGTGTATGCCTGCAGGACAGAAGAAGGCACCAGACCTTATTACAGGTGGTTGTGAGCCACCATGTGGTTGCTGGGAATTGAACTCAGGACCTTTGGAAGAGCAGACAATGCTCTTAACCTCTGAGCCATCTCTCCAGCCCCCTCCATTTGTTTTTCATTGAAACACATCCTCTAATCTTACTAATGAGATGAAATTATATCTGGAGTAGATCTCACTTGCCCCTGATCCCTTCTAGTCTCACAACATTAAACTTTCAAATCCACTCCCAGGGGAACAGGGGCTTCATAAACAAAGGGAGCCAATCACCTGGCAGGAATCTTTGCCTCCCTCCAGGAAGCCAGCACAGACCATGTTATTGGTGATTTCTCCAGGGTAGGCGGCTTCACAGTCAGCCTGAGACAGCAGTGGGGCATCCAGGCACTGGAGCAGGTCTGGGTTATTCACTTTGGGGAAAAGTAATGATCAAAGAAAGAATAAATATGCATTAGAACACCCCGAGGAGCAATAGTTTATTTCTGAACACCATTGGTAACCACAAGAGAGATCATTAAGACTATAAATTCTAGCAAAGAATTATAGCTTTCTAAATCTATAAAATGACCATTGTTGATTCTTTTTTCAGTATAATAGCAGCATGTATTTGCCCTCTTTAGCTTACAGGGGTGAACTTCTTGGTATTTTGTATCCATTTGGTACCAGATATTATTCTATTCTAGTTGGCACTTCAAACATTTTTGCATCATAAAAGTCAATAAGTTCAAATCCGGAGACATGGCTAGTTTTGGAAAACATGGGAAAGGAGGGATGTAGCAGGTGACTGGTTCTACTTACCACCGAAGCTGAGAGTGTTGCCCCAGCCAGAGATGAGGCACTGAGTGCCAGCAGGTGCACAGGAGGTGGGCAGAGCTACTGGGGCCACTCGGGCATTGAGGGCCACAGGGGACGAGAGCTTGATCAGCATGATGTCGTTGTCCAGGGTTCTTGAACTATAGTTGGGGTGCCTAATGCTCTTGGAGGCAGTGATGAACTGCTCATTGCCTTCCAGGAGGTTAATGTTGTGTTCTCCCAGCCTCACTTGGATGCGGCTGTTGGAAAGAAAAGATATGGCAGAAAGGGTTTTGTACGTTACCCCAAACACCCAAGGTTCCAAAGGTTCATGTTCAGGTTGCCTTAAAGGAAAAGTTCTTCCGTGGTGGACAATTTCTGGTTAGGCGTCCTGGCCTCTTTATCTACAGAGATTGTCGGTACATAGGGTATAAAATAAAGGGATGCAGCTTGAACTGGTTTTTAATCTGCCATACCACAGCCCCTCATATATACAGGGATGTGGACCCAAGGTGATATTTAATTCACACCCCACTCTCTGAATATTTGTTAGCCACAATAGGAACTATGAATAATATTTTTCACTTTGTTAAAAACTATATGTGGGCCCTAATCCTGTGACCCCGAGAGAAATTTACATTCTTGCTTCAACTCCAGAACTATTGAGCCAGAATCTCAGCCTGGGTTCAGTGTTTTAAGACACCTCATCGTCTTTGTGATGCACACTCAGGGCTGAGAACATACAGTAGAGACTGCATTGATTTCACCAATATTTAGCTGTATTTCTGAAACCTTGGAGTTCATTATTCTTTTTAGCTAGTAGTCCTTATACAATGTTCTTGCTTAACTTTCTCACTAGGTTTCTAGGATAGCATGATAAATTCTTCTTGGTTTAATGACCCATGATCCTTGCTATTGTGAGTTTGTTTGAGGAAGTGAGAGGCTTCCTATTCTGGAATCACATTTCACTCCTGCTCATGATACTTAGAGCTTCTGCCAGAAACTTCTTTTTTTCATGGCTTTCCCCATTCACCTTACAGCTTCACCACTTGCTCAAGTGCTATGTTCTAAATATGACCCAGGTTGTGGGCTCTGCAGCCAGGTCCATCACTTACGTCATGTAGCAATGAGCTGCAGACACCACCCACTCGTTATTGATGAGGGAACCTCCACAAAAGTGGTACCCAGAGTTCAGAGACACCTGGTAGGGAACAGAATTCTCGCTGCAAGTGTATCCTCCGACGATCTTGTCATCATCAACAGGAAAAGCAACTTGAATGGAGATAGAAAATGAAAACAAGCCAATTTATCAGGGTGTTAGAAGGTGAAGCCATTGGCTCTATGGCAGCTTAAACCCTTAGGATTTCTTACTGAGCCTATTGACTGTAGGAAAACTGGGATCACTCTGTCTCCAATACATAACATAGATTCTAGGGTTTCCCAGTGTTGGGATCTGCAGGACAGATAGGTAGTTTCCACAGTGCTCACAGCTCTTCTGAGCATCAGGGTGGAGACAGCAAGAACTACCTAAGACCACACTTACTGGCATCCCATTAGAAGCCAGTTTTGCCCATGGCCTCCTTTACTTGTTTGTGCCACATGGATGTTGGCTTTTTTTTTGGAATATCAGGATGATTTGACCTAGGCCAGCTTGCCACAGAAATCAGCACTATAGACTGAGGCCAGAACAGAAAGGAATTCCCAGCCACCTTAGACACGGGGAGAGCACAGCAACTGGGCAATGTAACAGCACTTCTTAACTTTCAGTGTGTGACTGGTAAGATTAACCTTATCTCAGGACTTTAGAACCCCAGTAAACAGGCAGGACCCAGGCAGAACTCTAATGGTCAAATCTTGGAGAAAAATATGTTTTCTGTGTCTTCAGGCACACTTTTCCTTAAGAATGAAGTATCACAGACTCACTGGGACCAAGCAGTGGGCATGCTGGCTCATTTCACGGAACCTCTGCCAGGCCTACCTTTCAATAGTCCCTGCTCTTGGCACCAATTACAAAGAAGACTGGTGGCAAGAGAAGATAAAAGGGGAAGTGAGAAAGATGAGGAATGAGAGCCCAGGAAAATGGGGAGAAGATCTGTGAGGCTGGTGAGACTATCAGAAGATAGAGAGACAGCACTGGGACAGTTCATACATTCTAGTTAGTGGGCTGGAAAGAGCTTGGAGAAAGGCCTTGAACTCACCAGCAGCTCCCACAAGGGCCAGAATCAGGAGAGCACTCATGGTGGCAGAGGGTAGTAAGTATGGGGAGAAAGACTGTCTTTATAGCTCCCTAGAGAGAGGAAGGCATAACAGTGAAGGGGTCATTGTCCTGCACAAACACAACTGCACATTTCTCTTTCCCAGAGTCTTGCATCAGCTTTGATGTCCGGTACCCTTGACACTAGGAGACTTACAGGTGACAGGGAAATGTTTTTTCTCAGGCCAGAGAGTGAGAGCAAGCAGGGGAATTCAACACCCCCTCCCCCGCCCCCCCCCCCCCACACACACAGTGGGATTCCTAAGGCTGAGGAGATGAGTGTTAGGAAGAAAGTGTCTAGGACCCTTAGAAATCCTCTGACTTTGTGGATGTTAATTTAAGAAATTTCGAGGATGGCCTAGTTCTGGTAGCCAGCTAGTGGGGCTGTTTGGAAACAGCCTGGCCTAAGCCTTTCACCTGAGAAGCCAACGAATCCACTGAATAGGAAGAAGAAATTAGAGGCCCGGAGGCTCTGAGGTCCACAATTAGAGCAGTAACGATGGAAAAGCAGGAGGTGCAGAGTTCCTTACAAGTCTGAGCTTTCAACTATTTTTTATTCTCTAACTAGGCTCATGGGTTGCAGGGGTCTTGAACAACATGGAGGAAACTTAAGTAGGCTCTTCCTGGAGACATTACAGGGATGGAATACTTACACCGGTTTTGTTTTTCCCTTTGCATTTGTTAACATCGCGTGCCATTTTTAAGAGTCATCAAGACCCCAGACAACTGCAATAATTATAAATATTCCATATTAGGAAGACGCCTCCTAACCAAAGAGCACGCATGATATTTTAGATATTAGAAAATGTTTGGACAGAGTCTGGACTCTGATCAGAGAATCAGCTATGTATAAATATGGAGGGACTCTGTAATTTTCTATTTTGTTTATAGCAAGAGAACTATGCTAGGCACAGTCCTCAATTTATTAAGGTAAAATCCGGCCAAAGAAGCTTATTGACTGACAATGTGTCAATCTGAATTAATTATACAGTCACTTGGAGGAGCCTTGCATCCATTGTTTATCTTTCACTTTCTCCACTCTGACCAGAGGCTTAGGGAGGTGTGAGTTGGAGCTGAGGTTATATATCAGTTTTCTTCAAGGTATTGGATGTTCTAGAGACGCTAAGTAGAGGTGTAAAAGCTTGGTTATAATTGTGGCGATTGTGTTGGAGATGGCAAGATGACTGGAGGATGGAGAAGCTAGAATGAGCTACAGGAAAGGCCAACATGGGTTTCAAAGGCTCTGCTGGGGCCCCCACTCCTGCCATTGTTAGGCCAGCATTACAAGGAAGTACCTCTACTAAATGCTCTCATTTCTGTAACCTACACCCAACCTAAAGGCTTTTGAGCTCATACCTACTGAACAGTGACTGACAGATTTAGGAATTCTCACATTTTTACTTTTCACAAATGTTTTAGTATGAGGTATTCAGAAAGGATAGATTCACAAGAGTTCGTTTTTACCCAAGAAATTAATTGGAAACTGTCATGCTTCCCCAAGACTCTAAGAAACCGTGGAATTTGTCAGAGTGTGAGATTTGTTGCAGGTGACTGTCAACTAGGAGGTCCTCATGGGGCAAATTATACATCCGCTTTCCTTTTGTAAGCACCCGTCTCTCCGGAATGCATTCCACATTGTATTTTGTCTCAGACTTTTACCTGGCCATGAACTCTCATCAGGTGCATGCCAGACACCTTTGCAAACACCTCTGTGTTTATAGACTTAAATGATTTCACTCTGTGTAGTCTAGAATTTTCCACAATGTAGTTAGCATGCTGCTGGCTGGGGTGTGTTTGCAGGACTTCTATTTTAGTGGTGAGATGTTTGCTTTAGTGTCTGCTTATTTCCTTGTACCCTGGCAGGTGGCCCACAGTGAGGAGATCAGCAATATCTAAGAAATGAGTTTTGACTACACAGAGTTAAGGATTGGTCCCTGACACTCTGTATAAAAGGAACCATCTGGGGACATAAGCATTTCTGTACCTCAGACTTGAAGGCAGGTATGCACTTGACATATTGCCAGAGTGGAGTCTTTCTGTTGTCTCTTTAGCGTGAAAGTCATCATCCTACAAGGTGGATGGGATGCCATCAATATGCTGATAACGAAAATGATGTAAAATAGACTCCAGGCAGAACTTGAAACCCTCCCTCTAATAAGCTACACTACTAGAGGGCGCAGCAAGGTCTTACTTCTTTATCTTATTCTGAGTTTTCTTCTCTTTTCCTTTTCCTTTAACTGTTGTTTTTGTTATCCTCATATTTAATATTTATTTTATTTAAAGGTATCTTATACTTGAGTTTTTTCTTCTTATTTTCATGCTTCATATACATATTTTTCTTATTTTATATTTGAATTTAAATATCTTGTTCTTTTTATCCTCATTTTCTCATTTTCTTGCTTATTCCTTATAATATAAATTACATTTTAAATATGCATATATTTTTTGAAAATTTCATCCATGCATACAATGTATTTTGTTCATTTCTATCCCTGTTTATAGCACATTATGTTTTCTGAATTTTCTTTTGTGATTGCTAGTGGTATAGTATTTGGATGCAATTATTCTCCTATTATGGATAAACAGAGACATAAATAATTTATTAAAAATAGTCTTATAGATCATATACATTTTAATTTTACCGTACATTATTTTGGAGTGCACAGCACTAAAATTTCTACCCAACCATAATGTATGCATTAAATTTAAAAGTATTGCCAATTGACTAAAAGGACCTTTTGTTTTTATTTGTTTTTCAAGACAGGGTTTCTCTGTGTTTCAGTTTTGGTTATACTGGATTCACCTTTGATCCAGGCTGTTTTTGACTCATAGAGATCTGCCTGCTTTTGCCTTCCGTCTGATGGGTTAAAAGCATGTGGCATACTGCCTGGATGATTGGAAGAGTCTTTTGCTAAAAGCAAAATGAATAAAATGAGATTGAAAAGAAGAAAATGGCCATCTTGATAAACGCAATCTTCAGATTCAATGAGATCCATATCAAAATCCCAACACAATTCTTCACAGACCTTGAAAGAGCAATGCTCAACTTTATATACCCCCCTCCAAAAAAAAAAAAAACTCAGAAGAGTTAAAACAGTCCTGAACAATAAAGTAACTTCTAGAGGCATCACCTTCCTTGACATCAAACTCTACTATAGAGCTATAGTAATAAAAGGAGCTTGGTATTGGCATAGAAAGAGAGACATGGATCAGTAGATTTGAATTGAAGATCCTGATATTAGTCCACACACCTATGATCACATGATTTTTTTGACAAAGAAGCCAAAATGGTACAATAAAAAAAAAAGAAAGAATCTCCAACGAATAATGCTGGTGTAACTGAATATTGATATATAGAAGACTGGAAATAAATCCATATCTATTGTGATGCACAAAACTCAAGTCCAAGTGGATTAAAGACCTCAACATAAATCCAGTTACCTGATAGAAGAGAAAGCGGAAGTAGTCTTGAACACATTGGCACAGGAGACAACTTCTAAAATATAATACCAGTAGCATAGACACTGAGAACAACAAGCAATAAATGGGACCTCCTGAAACTGAAAAGCTTCTGTAAAGCAAAGGACATGGTCAATAAGACAAAATGACAGCCCGCAGTATGGGAAAAAATTTTCACCAACCCCCATATCTGACAGAGGGCTGATCTCAAAACAACAACAACAACAACAACAACAACAACAACAAAAAAAACCAACAACAAAAAATCTATAAAGAACTCAAGAAATTAGACAACAAAATACAATAAAATTGATTTAAAAATGGGGTACAGATCTAAACAGAGAATTCTCAACAGAAGAATTTCAAATGGCCAAAAAACATTTAAGGAATTGCTCAACATCCTTAATCATCAGGGAAATGCAAATAAAAGTGACTCTGAGATACCATCTTACACCTCTCAGAATGGCTAACATCAAAAATATTGAGGACAGCTTATGTTGGAGAGGATGTGGGGTAAGAAGAACTCTCTTTCACTGCTGGTGGAAGTGAAAACTTGTACAGTCACTACTTGGAAATCGATATGGTGGTTTCACAGAAAATTGGGAATTCATCTACCTCAAGAACCAGTGATACCACTCTTGAGCGTATACCCAATGAATGCTCAATCATACTACAAGGGCTCTTGCTCAACAGTGTTCATAGCAGCATTATTTGTAACAGTCAGAACCTAGAAACAACTTAGATGCTCCTCAGCAGAAGAATGGATAAAGAAAATGTGGTACATTTACACAATGGAATATTATTGGTAAAAAACAACAGCATCATGAAATTTGCAGGCAAATGGATGGGACTGGAGAAAACCATCCTAAGTGAGGTAACCCAGACTTAGAAAGACAGACACAGTATGTAGTCACTCATATGTGAATTCTAGATGCTAAGAAAAGGATAACCAGACTACAATGTACAGTTTCAGAGAAGCTAGGTAATAAGCAGGACCCTGAGAGGGATTCATAGATCACCCTGGGAAGGGAATTAGATGAGATTTCCTGGGTAAACTGGGGCAAAGGGGTATAATAAAGAGGAAGGGGTTGGAGATGAGAAATGAGGGATCAGGATAGGAGGGGGTGGAGGGCTAGAGTGGGAAAGCAATGAAAGAGATATTTTGATAGAGAGAGCCATTATGGGGTTAGGAAAAAACCTGGTGCTAGAGAAATTCCCAGAAATCTCCAAGGATGAACCCAGCGAAGACTCCTAGCAATAATGGAGTGGGGTGGTGATGGTGCTTGAACTGACCTTCTGGTGAGTACTCCAACTGTCATCATAGAGCCTTCATCCAGTAACTCATGGAACCAGATGTAGAAATTCACAACTAAGCACCAGGCCAGGCTCTGGGAATCCAGTTGAAGAGAGAGAGGAGGGAATATATAAGCAAGAAAAGTCAAGATCACAATGGAGAAATCTACAGAGACAGTTGAGCAAAGCTCATGGAAACTCAGGAACTTCAGACGGACAACTGTGGGACCGA